GGGCTTTGGTTAATTCAGTGATGAACCTTCGGGTTCGGTAAGCCATCTAGTTAGGTAGTTAGTTATGGTTTCCTTAAGTTTTGTCTTGTGAAGCAGTGCTATTTGACAGAAGCAAGGCACAGAATATATATATATATAGCACTTAAAAAAAAAAAATTCATGTACGGAAACAATATCTGTATGTGACTCAGAAAAAACTTGTTCAACCTTATCTAAACTTCAAAGAATTCCTCAGTGTAATGATATTTACAGAAATGGCATCAATTCCAGTCCAAATCTCTATAACAAAATACAAAAATACTTTTAAAGCTTTGTTAAATGATATACTTTTAAAAATGTAAATATAATAACAAAAACCAGTATTATAAAAATTAATCACATTTGGGAAAGTTTTGGAAGGTACATTTATTGTTTTATGAAAAAAAGTGTCAATATTGCATACCAGTGTATAATGCTAGAAAAATGCATTACCAACATCAAACTTCATTAGAATCTGACCAAGTTCCAGAACACCCAATTACAGAACCAAAAACTATCAAATGTTAAAGAACATACCTGAAGTAATTTGTGTCTTACTGATATCCATCTGGCTTGGTCCATGGTTAACATCAACCAGACTACACAGCGCAACAACCCAGAAGACAGAAATCTTCATATTCACCTCTGTGAAAACCTCAAATCTTACATAATTAATTATGCTTCTCAGTAGTACAAAGAGTTTGTACAAGATAATAACCAAATTCTGTTGAGAAAATTAAATATAACTTTCAGAAATATTCAAAGAACTTAATCTGGGATGTGTACAAGGCGAACAGGATAGAAACTGCAGTGAAAGTTTTGTTGGTCTGGCCTGGTGCTTTCATACTCAAACACTTATGTACAAAGGCAACTACAGTATCACAATGCAAGGAACTATTGGTGAAACTACAGAGTGGGCTGGTGGTCAGAATGCAGTGTGAGAAGTGCCATTAAATGGGTAGTCAAGTACTATAAGGGACAGACTATTCCTATGGTAATCCAATGTTATTATTCCTATTAAGACTTACCACATAATACCCATAGTCCGCTTCTATCTGGCGTAGTTTCCATAGAGAGTTTAGAGTTTATTTACATTCCATGGATCCTTCTTAGGACTCAACCAAAGGATGTAGGACTTGTCATTTCATACAATATACATACACTTCACAACTTTCAACACAAGTACAAGAACGTATTTCACATATCAATGTACATAAATTTCAGATTCTGCAATACAAGAATGAAAAATAATTTTACAAATTAATATACATAAACCTCAGAATTTTAAATATAAATACAAAACTTGCTTTACATATACATAGATTATGGATATAAAGCTTAAACATTTTCAGCAGAGATGAAATCATCTACAGAATAGAAGGAGTAAGGAGGTAATCTTTCAATGCAGGCTTGAATACCTTTATATCATAATTTAGACTTTTAATTGTTGGTGGAAGATTATTAAACAACTTGATACCTGTATAGTACACTCCTTTCTGATATTTAGTAAAGTTAGCATTTGGCACATATAGATCATGTTTACGTCTTGTATTTAAATTATGTACATCTGTATTTCTTTTAAATTTATCCATGTTTTCCACCACAAATGATAGCAAGCAGAGTATAAATTCACTTGCAAGTGGAAGTATATTAAATTTACGAAATAATTTTCTACAAGATACCCTGCTTTTGACACCAGCCATTATTCTAATTATTTTCTTTTGCATGTAAAAAACTTTATTACTGTCTATTGAATTTCCCCAAAAGATAGTGATCCATCTGATGAAACGTTAGCTTCACCAGCACAGTTAACTGTTATATTGTAATTTGAGTACTATCATGCGCATGGCACGTGTGGCATGCCACACACGATCACGATACTGTTAGCTCGTCACCACACTTATTTGTGCTCTATTAAATTATGCGTAAAATGCTGAATATAACTAGATTTAATTACCGTCAAAATCAGCTTATCATTTATATTATGTAATTTAACGCGAAACATGGCCAACATAACCAATAATATTGCTAGTCAAAAAATCAAACACGATGTTATTATACTGAGCTGTATATTACATCACCGCACTTTTTAACGATTTTACATTATTAGCACATTTTTCTGCTTACAGTTTTAACTCCTACAATTCTCAAAAACAGATAATGAGCAACATTCATTCACCAACGAATCTATTTGTCATTTACTTCTACGCGCGAGCGACATGTTTTATTTTTTAATACCAACACAACAGCACAATATAGGGACTAGGAAGAACATTTAAGTCTGGAGTGGAATTTGAAACCACGAACACCATATCCAAGCGATCAAGACACACACCCTAAAATGACACATTAGATTAAAATACAAGGACTCTGAATGTGGATTAATTAAACATGAAACCCCTGAAATTTAAAGTGTTATGGTTTATTAAATGCAAATTCAATGCTCTAAATTCTCTTATTACGCCCACTAACTTCGTAAATTTGTTGAAACTGGGACGTCTTAATACATCTTGCAGCACGAACACAACTGAAGATTTACATGTTTTTGAGGGAAATCTATTTCTGTATGTCGCTTCGAATATTTAGACCTGAGGCTGTCACAGATCCAACTACACTCTCATATTCTGTTAACTTAGGATTTTTTCTAAACTCTACTTGTGAGTACATTTCCAGGTAACGTTTCTCATAACAGAACATATATTATGACGCAAATTATAATATAATAATAGAACTAAACAAAATGTCTTTTTTAATCACAGAAGTTCTACACCAGTTTGTCTGCTGGGATTTAAAACTCTTGCCCAGTATGTATAAACAACTAATCTATGCGATTACAAACTGAAAACCAGTACCGAACATGAACATTACACTAACCCTCTCTGAAACATTCTCTTGTCTGTATGAACTGTATGGAACCGGAAATCGGATTCAGAATAAATTCAAACTTCTAAGCTAGAAGTAATTAGCAATTCAGACACTTCTTCTATATTTTTAGCAATGTGCATGAATTTTTCCATACAAAAAAAACAATATATCAAATTAGAGCTCGTGCAAAATGCAATGATTTTGCTATAGAAGTTCTCACAAATCTGAAATAGTGTGACATCTAGTGCTTAAACTCGTACTATAAGTAGATGTGGACGTTTGTGATATCGATTAGCCGCTTTCGCTTGCTAAAAATAAATTTAAAACCTGAAGTTGGCTGACATCTATTGGATATTTAAAGAAGTTACTGTATTTTTCCGTTCTCCATACGATTTTTGTGGGAATTTCAAATTTAGAGGACGTCACATGACTTGAAGGCGGCTGTATTCTATCATATAGCACCGTGTAGTCTGGTAGATATTGACCTACGAGTAAGATGACTTCAGCATCTAGCTCATGATAAGAACCAGTGGTTGGCTTTTGTGAACATCAAAAGTAACCTTCTCAAGAAGAATTCCCTATTTTAGGTGCAAGGTAGTGGTAGGGCCTCAGTTTAATCACGAACTGTGTGTCTTCAATTGATTCGTCCACTCGAGTGTTAGTGATGAACCATTGCAGTCCAACACATAGTCTTCTTAGCAGAGAGCTTGCTGATAGTTGTGATACTATCAGTACTCCATCACAAAGCACGTGTAATAGGTGAGATTGTATTCTAATGGTTTGTAATAATATTTCATCATTGTAACACAAATATTAAAGGTCAAATTATGACAAATGAACCGTTCTATGGTTCAAGTGTCTGTTAGCGACCTCTGTGGGCCAGCGTTTGAACTGTGTTTGCTCGGCCACGTGATGAAAAAAAAATTCATCACGTGGCCGAGCAAACACAGTTCAAACGCTGGCCCACAGAGGTCGCTAACAGACACTTGAACCATAGAATGGTTCACAAACATGCTGGAAGTTTTATGCTATGCATATATTTAACTTACCTCCTTGTTAAAAAATATGTATTTTCTGATATTTGATCATTATTATTAGCAGAACATTCATATGAGGCCAAAATGGACCGCTAGAAACAGAAGTATTACTAGAAAGTGAGAGGAAGAGACAAAAGGCTCTAGAACACCAGAATGCCATTCGCTTACAGGTAAAAAAAGTAAAATGTAATTAAATAATTTCAATTGTCATTATGTGTGTTGTAATTAAGGTGGAAATGGAGAAGCCTGTGCAGTAGAGATTTTTCAAAACAGATTAACACATCTTGTGTTGGCCTAAAACACATACGTAAATAAAACAATTTGGATAGTCTCAAATGTTCAGGAACAGAAACATACAAATTTTCTATGAAACGTTATTAATATTAATTATTAATATTAAATTATTACCTTTTGATACGCAATCCAAAGATTTCAATTGAACGCCGTGGGCGAGATCTGTCCCTCCATGTAATTTGGTCTACGCGTGATTGATTGATATTTTCTATAATTTATAGGCCGACTCACTAATGGAAACATTTCAGATAGCTACAATGAAATCGGAGTTTACACAGTTACATGGTAAGGAAATCCTGGATTTTCCAATATTCAACGTGAAAATATGAAGTTATAAAGTGAAATTTAAGAATGGCGAAAATTATAAGCTGAATTTGTTACGATGCAGGGAGGAGTATTAATTATCTAAACATTACGCAGTGTGTACTCTACAGTACGCACCGAAACAAATTGACTCTCAAGCGCTGCATGCTATATTCGGTTTTGCATAGTCATGAACTATGTTTGTGTTCCCGCGAACCTAAAAGTTTCCCCGTTCAATTAAGTTTCCGAGTTTCGCCAAGCGTGTTTACCACTCAACAACACATCAATTGTATGCGGATTCATGCAGACCTGTATTTTTCTTGTTTCTCTCAGTTTGTTTGCTAGGATTGAAAATTTGTATATCTCCCCGCACCAAGATGGAAAGTGTATGTTAATAAATCAATCTTTCTCCTTCCCTTGAGAAACTACAGGCTTTCAAGAAGGACTTCCTATGCGTCGTTTTGTAGTCATAAGTTCCATACTCTTACAATCTGGTTCAAGCACTTAATTTCTAGACTGTATTTATACTAGAAAATTGACCGTCAAGAATAACCGCAAAATCTGAAGTACTACTAAACACGTTTTTATTGAAAAGTGTAACAAAGCAGCATGTATGATCTTGTATCGATGTTGCATTGTAGTCACGTGTACACAATATTACTATGGCAACGTTTTTGTTTTATTTAACGAACTTGGGACCATGAATACTGCAAACTTGGATCTTTAGCTTTTGTATTCATTCGCTTGACAGGAATATTTTCTTGATATAAATAACGTAACCTGAGATACAAAATAACACAAATAAGAAAGGTATAATGGAACAAAACAAGATTCTAGTTTTCAAGGAATTCACTGCGCTGTGTAGGGCGCACCTCCTAGCGGCAGAAGCTCGTACTACATCCGGTTCGCCCTCTATTGACACAGTCTGGAACCTATCCGATCGCACCTCGTATGCTCTGTTTCAGTGTCGGCCACTTATCACGCTGCCACGAGGATTCGCGGTTTTCTTAAGTCTCTCCAAAGGAATGACTTATTACCTGCAAACTAGACGCAGTAGCATTCTGTCATGCTTTTAACATACTCATCATTCATGCTCATATTCATAGTTAATGCTTTATAAAATTTGCAGTTGAAACATTACAGTTAAATAACCTAAGAATCAGTCACCACGTTAAAAATGGTGAAGTTCATTGGATCAATTGTTTTCCTTTGAGAGAAAAGTTAATCCATCTACATATTTACAATGCTTTTTTTTCTGTATTTCATAACAAATACATGTTCTGTAACATAAATTTGAGGATAGGAAAATGTAGTAGAAAAACACCAAAACAATTAAAAAGAGTAAGACGAACAAATAAGAATATTCCAAGAACACGAAAAATAATATTAATATTTTATTCAATTTAGATTCTCTCGTTGTTCATGAGACTGTCTGCCGTGCCCCTAAATGTTCTTTTCCTGGCTAGTAGTAGTGTGAGAAATGTTGCAGTTACTGGAAACCACTGAATTTGCTCACAGTCCCACGTTGACTTGTTTCAGGTTAGTAAATATTTTCGCAAGACACGTGTCTTGTCGTTTATCAAAATTCTA